GACCTGATTGTTGGCAACCGATTTCTACCTTATCGACACGGGAGCCAGCGCATGCTTCGTCAATCAGTCATGGGTTAACCAACACCGCCTAGATACTATGCCTGTGGCCAAACCCATTCGATTGTCACTAGCCAACGGCGGAGAAGTGGACAAGCTTACCCAGGCCGTTGATCTGCCCGTCCGACACGGAAGCCATACGCACAACGTCCTATGCTACGTCACCAATATCGGCAAGTACGACGTTATCCTAGGCATGAATTGGATGGACTATCACCAGCCTGCCCTCCACTTTGGCGACCAGCGATCACTCACCTTCGCTAAGGCAGGGTGCAAACTTAACTGCCTCCACGAAGGACTCCCAGAGACGGTTTACGAAAACGGAGTTTGTCACAGTCACGTACAACTAGTCAAGGGAGACTACCAGACAGGCGACACCACTACTAAGACGAACAAGGATGGTAAGGTGACGACTGAGGAGACTATGGCTGATATCTACCTCATCTCCGCTGCCGCTGCAACCGCACTCGCAGCCAAACATCCTGACCAGGTCATATGGTTGGAACCCCGCCATTGGGCCAAGCTTGCGAAGCCCCCCGATGAAGACCGAGAAGGCATCGGCGTAGCCGCAGTCTCGCAAACTGACTTTGAGAAGTACATGCACAAGATGGAGCAACCTTACATGACTAGAGACCAGATTGGCCAGCTGGTACCTGAGTGGGTGTTGGACGAACTACCTGATCTGTTCAACCCTCATCTGGCTCATCAACTCCCCGAACGAAGACCAGGAGTCGACCACCCCATCGACCTGCTTCCTGACACTACGCCCCCTAAGCCTCATGTCTACGGACTCACTCGTACCGAGACTGAGGCTGTTAAGAAGTATATCGATGACATGCTGCAAAAGGGCTTAATCAAGGCCAGTAACTCCCCGTTTGCGTCACCTGTCTTGATCGTCAAGAAACCTGGAGGAGGTCTCCGCATATGTGTCGACTACCGAGCACTCAACAACGTCACTAAGAAGAATCGAAATGCGCCACCAGCCATCAAAGAAACTCTAGCGCGCATGGCCAAAGTTCAGATTATGTCTCTCGTCGATGTTGTAGCCGCTTTCAACACCGTTCGGATTAAAGAAGGTGACGAAGAGAAAACCGCCTTCCTCACCCGGTACGGACTCTATGAGTATATGGTCATGCCCTTTGGACTGTGCAATGCACCAGGGACGTTCCAAAACTTCATCAACGAAACGCTGCGCGAATACTTGGACGTTATATGTACCGCCTACCTAGACGACATACTTATATATAGCGACAACGAGAAAGACCACCGTTCGCATGTCCTAAAGGTTCTCCGCAAGATTCAAGGCGCAGGACTATCGTTGGATCCCACGAAGTGCAAGTTCGAAACCAAGCGAGTCAAGTACTTAGGCTTGATCCTCACCACCGACGGCATCGAAATGGATCCGGAGAAGGTCTCCACTGTCCTCGATTGGCAACTGCCGAGATCAGTGAAGGACATGCAGTCTTTCCTCGGCTTCTGCAACTTCTATCGCCGGTTTATTAAAGGGTTCTCATATATCGCTAAGCCACTCACGGAACTCACCAAGGAGGGTAGTCAACGACATTTCCCTCTCCAAGCTAATGGACAAGCTGCGAAAGCCTTTGAACAGCTAAAGCTTGCGTTTAAAACAGCGGGCGTACTGTCCCACTTTGACCCAGATTTGGAAACGTGGCTCGAGACTGACGCGTCGGACTTCGTTACCGCAGCTATCCTCTCGCAGATGCACAAAGGTGTTCTACGACCTGTAGCGT